TCATGAAAATAACCTGTATTTGAAATTGTTGACGCTTTCTCTCCTCTCCTATCACTGACGCTCAGCATGGGATTGGTGCAGGAAGGTTTCCAGCACAGCTCCTGTGTGAACTCGGGCTATGACAAGCTTGTGTTCACACAACGGCAGTGGGTAAACTGCATGCGATTTGGAGAGAAATCACATTCCTGGTCAAATCGCATGCTATCTTTTGTGGTGCAATTTACATCTATTAACGCAAAGCACACCGGCAAATTACTGGTACTCGGTATTGGTGAATACTTGACCGAAAGTATCGGTACTTGGTATTGGCGAATACTTGACTGAAAGTATTGGTACACGTACTAGCCGATAAAAAAATGGTATCAGTGCATCCCTACTTTATTGAGATATTCTGTTTTTGCAATATCTGTTGGCTATGCTGCACACATGACAGAGACATACAAAAAAAACAGAGCTGTCATTAAAGCACATCCAGTACACCAAGTACAACTGGAATATCTATGGAGATCTAAATGTAGTGGCTCTGCTACTTGGAATGTAGTTCCATTATTATTATTATTATTATTATACAGGATTTATATAGTGCCAACAGTTTGTGCAGCACTTTACAAAATAAAGGTAGACATAACTGTTGTAATACAATTTGGTACAAGAGGAAACAGAGGGCCCTGCTTGTTAGAGCTTACAGCCTAAGAGGAAGGGTTGAGTGATATAAAAGGTAATAGCTGTGGGGGATCAACTGATGAGGAAGTAAAAAGCAGTTTACTAGTTAGAACCAGGAAAGGCTTCTTTAAAGAGAAGATATTTCAGAGATCGTCTAAAGGTGGATAGATTAGGAGATAGTCAGACAGAGTGGGGTAGGGAGTTCCATAAGATGGGAGAAGCTCAGGAGAAGTTCTGAGAGGCAAGGCGAGGAGGTGACACAAGAACTAGAGAGCAGAAGGTCTTGGGTGGATCAAAGAAAGTGGTTTGGTTGATATTTTTTTTTAGCATCTTGAATTTTATTCGTTGGGTGAGTGGAAGCTAGTGGAGAGATTGGCAGAGAGGGGTAGCAGACTATGAACGGTTGGTAAGGTGGGTGAGCCTGGCAGCAGCATTCATGATGGACTGAAGGGGGGATAGCTTTTGTAAAGGTAAGCCAATGAGAAGTTCCATACCAAGTACTGTTGTTACATATGTAAATGGAACAGTAATGCAAGATAAAGAAATGACCATTCCAAAGAATTAGGTTTTGGGACAAAAAACTGGCACACAAACCACTTTTAGAGTCGACAGAGATATTTTTGTCTCCACTTCACATAAAACTCCTGATGAAAAATGTAGTGAAAACCATGAGCAAAGGAGGTTTTCCTTATTTGAGAGATGATTACAAGAATAACTGATGCTAATATAAGGGAAGGCATTTTTGAAGATCCACAGATCAGATAGGTCATTAATGACAAGCAGTTCAAAGACCTGTTAATGGGACCAAAGAAAATTGCCTGGAAAGTTCAGCACTGAGAGTTTTTTTTTACAACTACAGAGCATTAAACTATTGTACATTCAGCTATTTCTTGCAACATATAAGGCAATGAAGTGCAACACGTCACTGAAGATCAATTTTCTGCATTCACACCTGGACTTCTTGCCCAAAAAATCTAGGTGAAGTCAGTGAGGAACATGGTGAAAGGTTTCATCAGGACATTGCCACAATGGAAGTAAGGTATCAGGGCAACTGGAATCCATCAATATTTTCTGACTGTTGTTGAACACAGCAGTTGACGCATTGGATACTGAATACAAATGAAAAGCAGCAAAACACTTTTAGCCCTGCTGAACTCATGAAGCAAGTTGGAGACATTGTGGGATTAAATGCAGTACATTATAGACATAAAAATGTAATTTTATATTCCTCAGGTTTTCTATGTCATACACTCATTCTGAAATTATACATGTGTTCATTTTGAAGGAGTCTATCATAATCAATTAATCATCAATAAATTTTTCAGCTTTTGGAAAAAAAAATTGTTGGCCAGTATTATTAAAATGACACTAAACTCTGGTTTAAAAAAAATTACACCCACCAGCCACTTTATCAGGTACACCTTGCTAGTACTGGGTTGAACTCCCCTTTTGCCTTCAGAACTGCTTTAATCCTTCGTGGCATAGATTCAACAAGCTGTTGGTAACATTCCTCAGAGATTTTGGTCCATATTCATGAGTTACTGTTGCCTTTCTACCATCTCAAACATGTCTGTCCATTCTCTTCTGACCTCTGACATCAGCAAGGCATTTTTGTCCACACAACTGCCGCTCACTGGATATTTTCTCTTTTTCGGACCATTCTCTGTAAAGCCTAGAGATGGTTGTGTGTGAAAATCCCAGTACATCATCAGTTTTTGAAAATACTCAGACCAGCCCATCTGGCAACAACAACCATGCCACATTCAAAGTCACTTACTGTAAATCCCCATTCTGATGCCCAGTTTGAACTTCAGCAAGTCATCTAAAACAAGTCTAAATGCCTAAATGCTGCCATGTGATTGGCTGATTACCAATTTGTGTTACCAAACAATTGAACAGGTGCACCTAATAAAGTGGCCAGTGAGTGTATATTCAAGTATGTATTCTTAATTTAAAAATACCTTTTATTGCTCTCAGTCTCCTCCAAATCTTCAAATTCCTTTTATTTTTTAGCTGCTGTGAACCAAATTCCTGTTAGAGGGTGGCTATGTTTATTCTTTATGGTCCCAGAGTATGAAGGAATATATCCACCCTCTCTTTCTGGCTCCAGAGATGGACTAGGGACCATGGGGTTTGTAGTATTCCCAGAGAAGTGCACATGACCACAACTAACATGCATTGCTCATTCCAAACAAGTGGAAACTATTTATTTGTAACGAACAGTGCACGTTAGTTACCTTCATATACATGGCTCTATGCACACTACAAATCCCATAGTCCATAGTACCTAGTCCATCTGTGGAGTGAGTAAGAGAGGGTGGCTACATTTCTACATACAGTGGAACTATGAAGAAAGAACATAGCCACCTTCTAGCAGGAAGTCAATTACGGCAACAAAAAAAGGAATTTGGAGATTTGGAAGAAGCTGAGAGTAATAAAAGGTATTTTTTAGTAAGAATACATACTGTACGTACTTGAATAACTGTTTTGAAATCAGAGTTTAGTGTCAGTAATATTGACAGTTTCAGTGTCCTAATGTCTGATGTTATGCGATCTTGGTAGGATACTTGTGTATAGAATATGTAAGGGAATACTATGACGGAATTACCTTGCCTACAACACCGGTTGCAGATACAACATTTTCTGCTCCTTCTACCGTCTTTGTGGCAACTTGATTTACGCCAGTAACCACAGCTCCTCCCACAACATTAGCTTGCTCTTTGGTCTTTTCGGCAACTAAAAATGACAACAAAGCAAGCAAAAAGTAAATATTTCAGAAACGACTTCCTCCACACTCAGTGGGTTTCATCCTCAAACAATATGTTTTGACTGACACCATTTCCCTTACTATTTTATGCATGGTGTTGTAAAACAGTGTTATCCTTACAACAAAGACAGAAATAGTGACATTTTTACAGAATATCACCATTACCTTTTGACTTTTAATATCCAATAGATATGCATGCTTATGACCAGCTCTACTCAAAAACCTATTTTTTTTACGTTTATTGGCAACATGAAATTTTTAATGACTTTTTTATTCTTTGGTAGATCTAGTGGCAAGATGTCTAAACCATAATTCCCAGTTCTGGGCAGCTAATGTGTTCATTACAAAGTCAAACAGTGCTATTATACACTTTAAGATATATAACATGACTGCCCCTACATAATACAGGACCTACAGTGTCAGGACAAGGTAATTTAGCTCCCAGGGCGCAATTACCAAACAGCCCCCCCCCATTGTATGAGCATTGTGTGTCAGCAAAAATCCCCCCCCCCCCCAGAAAGCACCAATTTTCACACTTATCCCCTAAGCCCAAAATCCTTTTGCAAGTCAAAATTCTCCCTAAACAAACATTGTGCTCTCTTCCAGTACAAATCCCCCCTTTCCAGCTCAAATACGCTCCTTCCCACAAATCCCCCCAATTATCCCTACTAGCACAAATCCTCCCCCCAAATCCTACTTCCTAACACAAATCCACCTGCCTAGTAAAAATTACTTCCAGCATAACCCTCCAAATCTCCAGCTGAGTCCAGGGTAATTTCCCCTCCTGCCCACCCCTTGTCCCAGTCCTGCCTAAAGGTGCCTACTGATATTAATGATTGTTTATTCTGACCATGTATGATCAGATCAGGCAACATTAACATGACTAGAATAGGCACTGCAGGCACTTCTGATCTGATGGGATACATTTTTATTGCTGATTGTTAGTGTTTTTCCCCAGAAAAGAGGCCATCCCTCTGAATGTCTTCTCACCCCTTGCATGTATGTTTACCCAATATAAGTTGGGTAATTCAAGGTCTGTACTGTGAAGCTAATATTAAATGATTTTTAAGCCTAATATCTATAGCTTGGTGCTTCAACAGTGTATTGATGAGGCTTCTTCAGCTTTTGATCTAGGGCAATTATTTTAATGACTCACTTTTTTGCCCAAAACCTCTATTTTTTTTAATTGGGTGAGGAAAGGTTAGGATCCCTGTCATTTTTCCATCTGTGGTTTATTTGGGAGATTTTCCTTCACTTCCTGTCCTATAGACACAATGAGCAGTGAAAGGAAATCTCTCCAGAACGGGCCCATTGGACGACTTTCTGCTCTATTCTTGTTCTGATAACTTGAAATTTTGGATTGCTGCTTACTTTCTGTCCCCGTGACATTGGTTACAACAGGGAGGAAATCCCTAAGACACTTTTTAGAATTCCATCGTGCCTCCAATAGATAAATGACAGTGCAGGTGACAAATTCATATACCCATTGTACTAATCTGTGTGGAGACACATGGAGATCAGGGTGTGCATAGACAGTCTATTCTCATTGCAGCTAAGGTCCCTTCCTGCAGCTGTCACAAAAACAGAAGAGCAGTCAAGAAGTTTTAAGCTGGGTGGGTGAAGCCTGATGGGAATTCACAGACACTAGTTCCCTATCAGGTATACTCCTCTTTGTTACTCTGTTGATGAGTTTGATAGTGGTTCTAATAGAGCCTGATGAAGGTGGTTTAGTGTTTCCCCTGAAATGCATTGACTGTTTTATGTTACTTTTATGTTACAGTTAAAATGATCTTGGACACTTTCATCCAGTTTTAGCTTGGTCCTCCTTTCTATACTGCCAGAAACGTATTGCTGGGACTTTATTAAACCCCCCCAGTGTAGCACAATAATGCACAGCAATGAGATGTAACTTTGTATTAATCTGAAGCATGTATTCTGATTGACTGCAATGGGATACTGCACTTAAGAATCATTGTTTAGTAATAGGAACTTTTTATTGAACATCTTTCATATACAGCTCTAGTATGACTTATGTAGTAAGTTAGCTACACCTTGTGACTGTACCTTGGAAGAGCTATAGAAGATGTATGCTTTACCTGTGTTGACACTGTGCACCACACCTTCCTTGGTCTTGGCACCTGTGAAACAAAATTGACATTTTGTGTCATCATTGTTGTGTAAGACTTGATGTTCTGGATTCTGAAACATGAATTACATCTAATTGGAGGTGACAACCCAAACTGAAAAAGGGCTGATCATGCAGCAGTATTCATTATCTACACGTTTGCCACATACACTTAGGAATATTCATTCAGTTAAACAGCTTTGTATTTATTCATCTTTGCTCCTATAACATACATACAGAAAAGCATTGCCTATTATTTTATATTCCATTTTTTTCCTATTTCTTTTATAAAAGAGCAGAATGTTAAAGGTTTCACTCACATTTTTTCTTTATTTGTACACTGTTATCAACAAAAAAAAGTGATTGTTCACAGAATCAATAATAGAAAACCACAATACATTTCTTTTATAGCATACAACCCCTTTGTACCTCAAGCATTTAAAGATATGTGCTGCAAAGATATAACTACTGCCATAGCAGGCCATACAATTACTAAGGGGCCCAGAAACAGTTGGGTACTGACGTGATACTTTTTTTATTTGCACTAACATACAATTTTGAGGACAAGCTTTCGGGGAGTGTCCCCTTCTTCAAGGTCCAAGCAGTACTAAGGGGCCCAGGAAACTTAGTGCATCCACTACAGCAGCAATTCTCAACCTTTGTAAGATCAGGGCCCTGTATATGTTTCCAAACACAATAACAAAAATTATTTGTCTAAATAAATCCCCAAATTAGTGTCAGCATATTTTATCAGTAAATTGAATTTTAAATGAGGTAATCACTAATTTCCTCCATCCCATTATTTTATATCTTTCTCCAGTAATCTCCAATACCCACAGCAGCACCATGAATTTAATCCCTTGGCTAGCAACGTGGATTGTGCAGCAGATCCCTACCTTCTTCACACCTGAACAGCACCAACTTCCAAACTGGACTTTACATTACACATTTGAAACGTGCCTGCTGCAATTTTAAGCTGCCAGCAAATCTAGAATGTACTCTCTCTGCTTCTGTGTAGACTGCGGCTAAGAGAAGGGCTGCACTGTAGCTGCTCTCAAGCCACAGAGCCCCTATCCATAGCACCTATCAGGCAGCAAGAGGAGTGTTGTAGGACTTTGTATTCCTGTCTGCACTCCTCTATAGCAGCCGTAATGGCTACTGATCCTAACAACATATCACACCAGTCCGTGCATTGCTGTGAATCCCCACCCCTGTTTACAAAGCTCCCTTTATATGTTAAGGCATATGTACTGTATATTTCCCACTATTACAAATGGCTTAACTCCAAGCAGCGTTCTTTCTCAACCCCACAGATATAACGCTACATCCTGAGAACAAAACTATTGTTTCAAAGCCCCTAAACCCCCACTCTAGCGCAAAGGGGTTTTTTAATTTGTTTTAGATAAAGAAGAGATAGAACTTCTGTCTGGTGCTTACTACTTTTTTGCTATTGTGTCCCAGTTAGAGGTTCAGAGGGACAGGAAATGATGGGAAATTGTTCCAATGGGGACAAAGGCATCAACAAAGGCATTTTTAGTGGAATGGGGAAAAATGAAAGCTTATATGAGTTTTTATTATTGTCTGCCTTCCAGTCTGGGTGAATATTGATGAGCTCGGATGAGTCAAGATCCTAGTCCAAATCCAAATGAATGAGCTTGCTAGAAAAGTGTCACCTGTTTTGGGCCAATAATTCCTACTGGTGAGCCCCTTTTCCCTCATTTCTCATCCTAGTGTCTCAGGGATTTATAATTAATGGAAATCTCCCAGATAGAACTCCATACATTGGGGGTTATTAAACATTTTAATTTAAAAGAGAAGTATGGAATTAAAAAAAAGAAACAGTCATACTCACCTAGGTGGATGCAGCATCATTCATTTGCTGCTTCTAAGACTGAGACCTGAGCAATCAAACATCACTCGGTTGGCCTTCAGTGAGCAGAGAGTCGGTGACTGTCAGTCACCAGCTCTCTGCTCTGCCCCTCCAGTGCTCACTGGAAAGCTGGGCTGCAGTAGGAATGGCTGGCTCAGGCTCTCAGCAGCTTGCTGAAAGGCTGTTCCAGCTGCCAGTCCAGTCATCTGGGTGGATCCCGACTTTAGCCTGCTGTTGATTGGAAATGGGTCACAGGAGTGCTGAACGATGTGCACTCCTGTGACCCACAGACATAGGGCCAAAAGAGCTTTGTCCCTACTTCCACTTTTAGAGCCCAAACAAGAACAATTTTACCATAGTGTGACCCAAGAAGAGAATCATTACCAGAATGCCTGAAAAGGCTAAAGACAAATAAAAAATGGCCTTATAAAGCATGCATTGAGGATGCTCTTCACCATTTCTGTAAGCTTTAGTAACATTTTTTTAACTAATATCAATGTTTCTTCACCTCACAACCTTGCCTATGTAATTCCTTCTGCTCATCTTGTGTATGTTCTTCATACATGTGTCTGTGTATTCAAATATATTCAATTTTTCACAGGTTTCGATAGGGATGGCTGTTTTGTGGATGGGAAAACTTATTACAGTTTTGAACCCATAGAAACGAACACTCAATTAAGCTTGCACCAAAAATGTCTCCAGGAATCCCATTATAAGGCACTGTTGCCCTTTACTCTATTTGGGTCTGGTTAAAGCTTGATTGTGGCCTAGGCTGACATGTATGTAAGCTGTACAATTGTTGTATATCTTTTTATGTATTGATTTATGTGACATAGTTATGAGGTGCAGATAAGCTATGATGTCATTATGACACACATTTTTAATCACATTTAATTGTTTATCCATTCTTTGAACAGTTGCCACTGTTTGTGGGGATTGCCCTGTGGAAAAGGGATCCTGCAAGAACCTGAGACACAGGTGATGAGCAAAACAATTCAAATAGATCATTCATCTGTTTCTAAATGTATACATTTATAGAGTGGAACATCCATTGTGATCAAAATTCTTGCACATGGCCCCTTGACTTGTTTATTGCACCCTATTTTAAAATATTCAGGACCAGACTTGGCCTACATGGGGTATAGGCCTACAAAGCCATCCTTAATCCAGATATTAGTACTTACTACATTTGCACAGTCTATTAAATATAAATAAGAAACACTGTTTAATGTGAAAAAAGCCAACACTGTCTGCTGACTTGCCTCTGTCTCATCTGTTAAAAAGGTATCCTATTGGTTGCATAGTGCAAAATCAAAGATGTAATACCATTTTATTTCTTATATTAGCACAGTTTATATTCCAGACGATAAGAGTATACCCTCCACCTGCAATTGTTGTGCATTCTTTTAAGAATATTGCATCTAAACTTTAATGAGGACAGTCTGATGATATAATTACTGTCCAAAGGTATCAGCAGCATATCCCACAGGTGTAACTAGTTTCTGGATTTAATTCTCATCCATTCTGACCCTGCCCTGTATTGCTATGCTTTCCCAGACTAATGAGGTTTTCTTAAGGTGTGGGGATAATTGAACTGAGCAGGGCATGGTAGCCACACCCAAATCTCTGCAGTATATTCTGACAAGCCAACACCAAGACGCCTGAACTGGCTTGTCCGGTCATGAAGCATATTTTGAAATAAATTGATTTTGACTTTTAAGCTACAAATAAATCAATAGCTAGAGCCCAGCTAGCAATAATTCAAGACAAAGTCACTGAATGGATAGTTAAGTGCATTCTCTATCAGTAGATTAAATATTTGGTGACTGCTTAACTGTCTGCCTTTCAGGGCAAAAGAGCATCAGTAGATATCAGACACTAAATTTGGCTAGTTCATACCTCTAAATATGTGGAAAATTGTAAAAGCATTCTGGTGATGTTTCCAATTTCATTCGACATTCAATAACTTGCATAATTCTTAATATAAAACATAACAAATTTTACCTGAGGGTTGCTTTTTCTTTCATCTGTTTTTTTTAAGTCATACTTACAATAATATATTTAAAATACACTGCAACCATCTAGGAGGAATTTGAAGGTTATTTTAGTAGTCTACCACAATTACTTTGGAATGGATACACTTTATTGGATTCTTGGCATGGTGACTATACTCATTGCATGGATTCCTTAGGGCATTACTCAGTGCAAATCATTCTTGTGGTTCAGCATTGCTGACAAAGTCCTTGGCGCTAACAAGATACACCTTCCAAGGCCTCACAGCAATCTGGAATGAGTCTTGTATTGATAATGCTCAATAATGTATATTGGGGTAGATGTGGCATCACTTGCTTTAGAATTTAGAGTGTTATGATTTTACCAACACCAGGTTTTTACGACTATTTCACTGGTTTTCACCCTCATTTATTTTGTTTCATGATACAAATTATATTTATTTTTGAATTTGCTGGTTTAATTGGTGATGTTAAATTTTGATCCTCATCCACCCAATAATTTTGGCAGTCATATCACTCGGTAGGAATATTGATGGCCTATAAAACAGACATAGAAACTGCTAGTATCTCAAATGTTCACATACACACCCCTATGTCTTTTATATGTCATTCAGCAATCTTGGGCCTCCTAGTGTGTAGTTATAAAGAGCTAAATTTAAAATATATTAAATTACCACTGTTCTGCCCATATTGCTGCTTTCGGCAAATGCTTTAACCATGACCTTATATTCTGATTATATGTGTCTGCTTTTCACTAGAACTTAATACAGAATAATAAAGTGGTCAAAAAAATAATCATGTTTGGTACATACAATAGAGAGAATGGTTTTGTGTATGTATGTGATGCCTAATGAGGAAAAACACACTTCAATTTTATGATTGAATATATGACTGCACTTTGAAAGAATTGCTGTTTTCTGCCTTAGTTGTTGCATATTGGATGTATTTTCCATGGGATGGCAGTGTGATTGGCCTTTAGATATCCCTGAACATATAATAGTTATGATGTAATGAGTTCAGATAAGGGTCTTATCACAGTGGAAAATTTCCTATGACAGAAAAAAAATGAATATTATTACTGCAGTGATGCTGACACACCCAGCTTCACACACGTCGGCCATTGTTTGTCTCTGAGCCCCACCCTACAACAGATACGAACCTGTCTATATGTTGTACAGCACAGGACTTACTGCATAGTCTTCGTAAAAAGTATACATTGCTTTATCATATGGAAAACAAGAGACCTGCAGATCCTTAGTCCTTTCTTTTTTTTAACACTGTTATAGGTCAGGTTTAGCTACTGAACAGTGTTAACCAAGATTACGAATTATCAGACAATAAAATTCATAGAGTCAAATAGCAGTGAAAACTCTTGCAAAGTCATATTTACTATGTAGGCATAGATACAATTGTCTCCTGCAGTTACCATACAATTGTAGGCCGACATACTATTTTTACCTTAATATTTTATTTTATGCATTACAAAGCAGTGTGCATCTTTATAAATGTGTAAAGACATTGCCACCAAGTGTTAAAAGACTATATATTCATGCTGTGCAGTATATATGCTAGCAAAATCCATTAGCTATATATTTTCTTGTAGAAAGTGCCAAAAAATAGTTCATAGCAACTAACAGGCTGAAGCTAGCAAACTATAGAGATTATAGAAAAAAAATGTGCTGGTGTACTGGAGTTATTTAGGAGAAATAAAGGAGCACAACTGCAGGATCAAAGTAAACTGAGAGAAATACGTAGGCCACTGTTGCTGACCTTTCTGTCATTCTGATCAAATTATTTTAACGCTTTCAATCACTGACCAGAATCAGCATGCATCCAGTGCAATCAAAAACTGTTGAAGTCATGGGGTCGGCATGACGGCCAGGTGACTGGTATTTTCAGTAGGAGAAAACATCTTTTTCTGTCATTGCAGCTTTTCTTTAAGAAACTGGCTGGCCATTTCTTTGGAAAATGTGACTTGCCTGGTTTTAATACTCATACAATGGCTTCCATACTCATAGATCTGGAGCAAGCATTGTATCCAGATCAGGAGTCTGACTATACTGGTACGTGTTCCTTGGTCAATGACTCAGGAAATACTAAAGTCAGAATCAGAAGTAAAAAAAAAAAAAAAAATAACAGTGGCTACCTACATATAAATGTTAGTACAGGTCCCCTTTAAGTGGGACATGACTAGTATGATGATAGAGATCAGCACTACGGACAGCTCAGATTATAACAAATAATAATAGGCCCAATCTATAAAATCCAGATCTGACTGTAAACTTTGTGCTGGGAAATGCCATAGAAGCAGTGATCTGTTCATGTCAGCGAAGCATCTTCTATAATCTCTCCAGAACATAAAAAGGATGGGCAGGTCTATCTCCAATTACCAGCATTTCCTTTAACCTCTGCTGTGCTCTTGTACAAGTATCTAATCATGGTACATTGTGACCTTAATCATATTGTATAGAAATGTATCATTTATCACTTACTGCACTACATTTGGAATTTAAATTATAGAACAGCACTGATCTAATGTGCTTTCTGTTTACTAAGGTCTCTAATAAGTTTAATTATCCTTAAATGGTTTTTCCAGGTACATGAAAAATAATAAAGAACTGAATTATCACAGAACAGTGATCTACCATATGCACACTGTTTCTTGTGTTTTTTTTTATTCTTTTTGATCCTACCGTCTTTATTATTTGTCACATTAAAATAATTCAAGGTCATCTTGTTACTGCTTCAAATCATCCTATGGGCATTTTTCAGCAAATAATTATTACCATCACAGAGATTTGACAATTATATGTGAACTCTCTAGGTGGGTTATGGCATGCTTGGGCAAAGTAAAGCAGAAGAATTGAGATACAGGTTAATTAAGCTCAGCATACAAAATAGTTTTTTTTTTCTGTGCATTTATCAAACTTTTCTTCACTCACCTACATACATGACCCCCTCCTTGGTCTTCTCTGCAGCCTCAGTCACACCCTGCTTGGTTTTCTCTGCAGCAGCCACCACACCTTCCTTAGCCATGGAGAAACCTTTCTTAAAGACATCCATGCTAAATGTGTATAAAGGGAAGTTTTGGAGACCCTTTTGCCTTTCCTGCGTCCCACCTGAGCTGTTCTGCTGATCTTCAGTAGGGCGGTGGCAGTGTGATAGTTTTCAGAGATTTCGTCAGCTTCTTATCAAAGTGCTGCACTGCAGTCTGACCAATGACCATGAGTATCCAGTTGTAAAATATTAATGATATGTGCTGGAGTGGTACAGGATGGTGGGTTAGGGGGACTGTAGGGGAGGAGCAGGCTGCTGAAGAGAGGATGGGTAAGTGCAGAGTAAGAGGAGGGAGATCTGGAGATGGAAAGGACCACTGGAACATTTCCAGCCACTTCTGAAGCTGGAGATGTGCTGTGCTGCAGTATGCTACATTCATTCAAGGGCAAGCTGCGGATACAGGGAGGGATGCTGTACAGGCACATCTTGCACGCTGCTTGAGGATTCAGCTTCTGTTTTGCAGTAGTCTGCTTTTAACCTTTTGCATCCAGGATCCATATATGTAATTGCACTATCGTAAGAAAGGTTCATCGGTAATTTAATTAGAGAAAAGTTATCTAAGGCACTCTGACATATTAAGTACTCTGTCTGAGAAAGGTTTATTACGTTAATAGTCACGCAGAGAGGGGCTTTTACTCTTCCAACTATGTGAACAAGATCTATGCAACGTCTAATTCACAAGGCCAAAGTGAGTGAAAATGCCTAATAGCTCAAAGGAAATGGCCAAAACTCAACTGCCCAGTGTATGAGAATTCTGCAATTCCTACAACACACAGAGGATAAAGCGGTAAACGCCTACTTAGCACAGTCACCACCCCCTCTGCAGATCCAATTTGTACCATGAATGTTATACTCATTATACATATTTTTGGGCAATAAAGCCAAACTCTTTAGCATGTTCCTCTCTTTATATTATAAACAGGATTGGCATCATTGGTAACTCTTATAAATGTCTAGTTGTATTCTTAGATTATGCTATTATATTGATAGCAGCACATTTAGGGTCAGTACAGTACATGCTGTAGTTATATACATTATGCATGTCATAATCTACCCTTCTTCCAAAAGTGAATGTCTAAGCATGTATCATATAGATTTGCAATGTCAGATACATTTTTGCTGCATAATGATGTCATATATGCATGCTGCAAGAAAACTGAGCCTCCCATTGGTACAATAAATTGCTTCTAATTGAATGGAGACTAAAGCACATACTATATATAAGCCAAATATTGAAAGATCGTCTTAAAAATATTATTTGCTTTATTTTGAGGATAATGTGCATCCCAAACAATGAAGTACAGCCCTTATTCTTTTGGCCTAGCGAATCGTGCCAATAAATTGTCTGAAGAGCAAATATTTCATATGCAAAGGAAAAAACTCACACTATTTTAGGAAATTATTGGAATACAATCAAAAAGGAGGGGAAGTGATTATCTGCCAGGGATCTGATCTAATCTATTCCTAAAATGAACACCAGCCCAGGGGAGGTCTATGTGAATATACATTGAATCCAAGCCTGTAAAAACTAATGCAACTAGTAAGCTGAAATATCATAAATGTATATCCTTGGAATAAGAGATGCTTTAATGTATAATGAACATCAACATCTCAGTGCTAACAGCAGACTCCAGCAGCTGAAGCTATAGGCAAGAGGCTGCTGAGATTTTAAGAATTATAATTTGTATTCACTCAGGCCATAGAGATTCTAACAGAAATGTTAAGCCCTAATGAAGGGGAGCAATAGAACTCCAAAAATGCAGTGGCCTGTCCTTTTGACAATATATGATGAAATAACCTCTCGGTATGTGGTCCGGTGTTGTAGCTTTTTTCCTTTACCCCTTGTATTTCACCTGAAACTCTGCAGGAGGCCTCTTTGTACCTGTGAGATTCCAACCAGAACCCAATATGGTTTATAACTTGGCTGTGAGATCAGTTTGTATTTGGAACCATCGTCCTCTACCTCCGTCTCTCACAGGTTTCATTGCTGTCTGTGTCACCCTTGCTGACATTTCGCCATACTTTCTGTACTTTCAGCCAGTGAAGATACAAACTTTAAAAATAACAGTCATGACCTTTCCCATCCCTTTCTATCAAAAAACATGTTTAGACTGCAATCAGGCTCCACATTTGACCTTACCTATACCAAGAATGAACATAAAAAGTAGACCTTGTCTTCTTCAAAACAACAGGTCTCTTGTCTTCCTTGAAGTTTACCACAACCTGGCACTTGGAGACTCTTAGTGGACACTGATTATGTGGGTACAGCAGCAGTGGTCTTGATAATAAAACAGTTTTATTATCTATGCGTATTAAAGGTTTATTGAACTAAACCTATTAGGCCTCATTTACATGGACATTCCGATCGGGTCCGCCTGCCCGTTTTTCAGGTGGACCCGATCGGAGCCTACATTCTTCTCTATGGAGTGGCAGGTGTAAATGGAAATATGGCCGTTTACACCCACCGACATCCAATCCGGTCCGACCCACAAAAAAGGAATTGATGGGGATCCAATTCCCTTCCATCCATCAGGATCGGGTTGGATGGAAATGGATGGGAGGCCCATTTTCATCTGACCGCCCATTGAGGAGAGCAAGCTGCTCTGTGTCTGCTCTTCAGTAGCAGAGTGGACACAGACTTGTCATCCACATGCTCAGCGGGGATCAGTGGAGAGATCCCCCACTGAGCAAGCAGAACAACTAAATGGGTCCGCCCCGTGTGAAAGGACCCTTAAAGAAATGTGGAGGTTACTATTGCTGATCTCTTCTTCTAAAAATACTGATTGCCTGGCTGTCATGCTGATCCAAGAGTTCTGACGTCATTCTAAATTTACTTGTTACATGTTTGCTCATAGTCAGTAACTCAGAAACTATTGAAGTCAGTGGTGGGCAAGTAACTAGAATTCTTAGTAGGTCAGGAATGGCTGTCCCCATGTTTCTCCCTGGACAGATTCATTTATCAGTGGCCGGCCTACTTTAGTAATAGGGCCTAGACAAAGTATTTTTTAAAGTGGTTCTAAAGGCTGTTTTTTATCTTAATTCTCTGCATTAAGGTAAAAAACCTTTTCTGTGCAGCATGAGTTCTCCCCCTCTTATACTTACCTAACCCTGGTCTAGATCTAGTGCTGTGTACATGAGCAGCAGCTCTCTTCACTCTCTCTCTCCTCATAGGCTCAGAGACAGCAGCGGGAGCCATTGGCCCCTGCTGCTGTCAATCAGCCAGTGAGCAGAGATTGGGGACGCGGCCTAGCCGTGCTTTATGTGTCTATGGACACACAAAGCACGGCTCGGAATCGAGCCTGCACGAGTGCCCCTATAACAAGTGGCTTGCTATGAGGGCATCCAGTAGGGGGGAGGAGCCAGGAGTGCCAGCGGAGAACCCTGAAGAGGAGGATTGGGGCTGCTCTGTGCAAAACCATTGCTCAGAGCAGGTAAGTATGACATGTTTGTTATTAAAAAAAATAAATTTGAACCTTTACAATCACTTTAAATGTTTTTTTTTTTAAATAGATCACTTCTGATGTCCCAAGCTAGTACCAATGGGTTTATCTGTTGTGCTTGTTGATGTGCTAGTAGGATTAAAGCTGAACTCTGTGAAATCTGAAAGCCCCCCCCCCCCTTTGCAGCAGTGCTGCAGGGGGGTTAACTGCTGATTTATGTCTAGGGGACCAGATACAGCAGTTTCAATTACCTGATCCTTTGCTGCTACAGGCTCCTCCGCTCTACTAGACCAGTCCCTGCTGCCTGTTCTCCCATACTTTCTGGCAATGTAAAGTCCTCTGACATCATCAAGAGTAATGCAGGGTCCATTCTCTTGCAATGGAGGTAAGGACACCGATGGACAGTCAACATCAACTGCTGGAACATAGGAGGGGGGGGGGGCAGTGGATCATTATGTAAATGAGTACTTTACCCATCCCCTAAACAGAAACGAGCAATTAACCCTTGCAGTGTGGGTGCTATTTTTTAATAACAGAGTCACATTGTTATTTGCTATACTTTTATTTTTCTTACAAAAACAGAATAATGGATGACAGCTTTCTCTAAGATACTTGCTCTTTGAGCCCCAGTGAGCTGTAAGAAACCAGTGAATGCATCAGTCCACCAGCTTTCACATAAAAATGACAAGTGAGATTTAAATGGATGTCTTGTGTATAATGAATATGTAGGCATTCCAAATTCAATGTGTTCTGTTATTCAGTATTACTTTTGTGTGCATTTATATTATATTTCTTTTATATTGTCCTAGATTGTAAGCTCCAAGGAGCAGGGCCCTCCTAACCCTCTTGTATTGAACTGTATTGTTGCTGAATTGTCTCCCTTTATATTGTAAAGCGCTGAGCAAACTGTTGGCGCTATATAAATCTTGTATAACAATAATAATAATAATAATAATATTGTTTACTGGCAGAATGACATGAGACGTTTGAACACGTTGTGCACATCTGGCTTCCAAAGCTGGCTTTGCATGTATGATGACATGATTTAGGTAAGATCGTCCAGAAGGGACTTCATTTCCTCATTGTGTCATTAGTCAGTAGCATCAGTAGAAGACTATTGACATTCTCAAGGTCAGATCTTCTAAGCTCTCACAACTCCAGATGTTCCAGCAGTATTGATTACCTACTGACTGCACTGAAACGAGCCCTATCTTTGTTTGCAGTTTTATCTCTTACATAAACCCTTTGTGACTAAGCAAATGCTTCAGAAGAAGTGGTTAAAATCCATTTCCAGAAATAGTGCGGTAAACCTTTTCCATGCAAGTGGTTGTCTATTAGTTCAGGTGGCTACATGTGTTAGTAGAATATCTGAAAATTACATCCTTGCTAAAGGCTTTTTTAAAGGTCTAATAAATGTTGATTTTTTTTATGTTTTTAGCTTTTAAAATTGTGATGATTTATTTCTTTATGATGTATGGGTCATTATTATTTATATAGAATATGGTTAATGCATTTAATACATCAGAGTAGTTAAAGCAGTAGTAAAGTCTTGAAAAAGGAAAAAAA